GGCTTCACAGTTCCATCCAAAGAGACCAACATGAGCTGTGAGGTTGCATAGTAATCAAATAAATCAGCATCATATTCATCTTTCAGAAGATCCTGGAATGTTCTCACTTGGACCACATTCTTTGTCTCATTAGACTGAATTTTTGGACCAGATGGAACTGATGGCTTCTGTGGTAGAGCTCCACGTGATACAGGGATAGTGCAGACTAACAAAGTAGAGTTATCAACCCATACAAAGCTGCAAAATAGTAGAAACAATTATTTGGAAGTAGGAATAGTAAATAGGAGGCATGGAATTATGAAGTTTATTACCTGTCAAAGATAGCATTCAAGTATATATCAGGAGATTTAAAAAGTGGCCGTGCTTCTCCAGATTCCACGTCCGCAATCCATACCCTTAGCTTGCTGATTTTGTTGTCCTCCTGTTTGGATAAGAATCTGTTATAGCTAATCAATGAGACATAACAACTATCCCTATTACAAAGCCAATCCAACCAATTACCTCTTCAACTCGAACACTGAATGATAGATTACGACCATCATGTGACCTAATTCACATTATTCAATACATGAAGTCAAGATTGATGTAATCCAGTACAAATAAGTACCCATAAAATGATAGAAGTTACTTTGATACAAAAATCTGGAAATTTACCAGGTAACAAAATTAATCTTTGCTCCTTCAGGGTATCCATGGACCTCCTTCTCTGGGCCCAAAGTTCCATCATCCATTAGCTTATGGATACCTATTCCAGTGTAGGAAGACCTACAAATTAGGTTAATCAGATTTCCAATGATGGCATGATGTAAAGCGTAATAATGAACTTGTTAAAAAGTGAAACGGAATAATACGACAGAAATTTCGGGGAAAGCATGAACAGTACGTACATTCGACTTCTAGTATTAGAATGGCCATCAATCCTCACACCAGCAAGTTTCTCCTCAGGCTTTGCGAGATCAGATAGTGGTGGAAGCGCTCGACGTTTGAGAAATAGAATCTTGTCTTTGCTTGGTGAGAACGACAAAACAGGAAGTGGTGGTGCATCAACAATGTCCTGTATTTCTTTGGGGGGAAGGCGGTAGCCCAGTGAAAGATCTGCATGATACGCAAATACGTTTACTGTTCACTGTACCACTAGTCTGCATTATACTTTCTGACAGTTAAACCCAGGACAAGGGCAGCTCAAACAGCACTTTATGCAGAGATCTTCACAGTGCACACAAAAATACAGCTCCATTCAAAGAAACCATTTACACCCCACCCACCCATCCCTAAGAATCATGTTTGTGTATCAACACCAGTAATTAGGCAATGCCCCAGAACCCATACATTTACATTTAACTCCTAGAAGTAAAGCTGCTAAATTATTTCCTTGAAAAGCAAAAGCACCACTATCATAAACCTGTTGAAACAGTTCTAGGGTTATATGCATTCCTCGTGTAAGCAGAACAAGAGAACTTGAGACATCAAACCACATGCTCTCTTAAAGAGTCTCTTACTAGCTAAACACAGCATGATAAGGAGCAAAGGTCAGGCTGATCCATCTAGTCTAGCTTTAACAGTCGTATGACGAGCAAGTCGAATCATGATAACTGAAGTGAGCTAGAGAGGGCATGTGATGTGATCTCTACCAGAACAAGTCGGATTAATCTAAATTATACACTACCAACCCATAAAGAGCAATCCAGTATCCAGATCATAACTGAAGACAACTAGTACTAGTATGTTTCCAGGAACCGATCCAAGAGCAGAGCTCCAATCTCTCCCCCGCCAAAGCAGCCCAATCCACTAAACGACGCGAAGTAACAATCGAAATCAACCAAGTGTCCAAGAAGAAAAAGCAAGCAGCACCGACCGTCGTCTTCCTGGCCCAATCCCGACGCATCCGCCGCCGCCGGCTGATTGGACTCCCCGGAGGCTGCGGCGGCGGCGATGTGGGACATCCTGGAGGCGGCGGAGCTCATGGCGGCCCGGCGAGGCAGGCGGAGCGGCCGCGGAAGAGTAGAGGAGCGAAGGGGAGCGCGCAGAGGCGCGAGCGGGAGCGGGAGCAGGGCGAGTCGGAGGCAAGCCCTGTGGAGGATGGAAAGGGCGGACATGATTTCTCGGCCTCCCTCCCTGCTTCTTCTATACAAGTACACGTAGTAGATAGCATAGAATAGTGCAGGACGGATGGTGGGATACCTTTTCTTTGGTGGACAAAAGGATATTTTGGCCCCTTTTGAAAAATGCTTCAACCTAAAAAGATCTCTTAAATATAAAAATGTTCAATACATTTTTCAAACACACAGAACTAGTATAGTACGATTTGGGTTGATTTTTTTTTTGCGAGAAAACTTCTGACCTGTTCATCATCCGTCGTGGCAGTAAAAAAACACTAGAAACAACAAAGTACATCCAGGTCCAACCATCACTAACTGGAATCTGCTCCGACTCGGAATGGAGTCATACTATCGACATTTCACGAAACTTTTGCGGAAGTTTATGCGGCGATGTCGGGTTGCTTGCGGCATGAGCTGACCAAACGGTGACACTGGACAAATGATTGGTTCCGGGATTCCAGTTTATCTTTTCCTGATCACGACGACTATAGACTCCCCTTTGATATTGATAGTCTATACTTCTATACTACTATTAAACAATCAAACAAGAACTTCTTTAAGCACACCCCACAAAGCGTATACAGATCCAATACAACCGCACGATTAGGCCCAGTAAAATCAATCTAACGATTAGCCTTAACCTAACCTATTTTCTGTGTGCACTTAGCAATTTACATTGACTCACCGTACTCCACCGTGGAGGAAAATATGAAACTCCACGCCTGAGCAATTAGGAAACTAATAATCACAGGTGCATCCTATTCTAGAAAACTAAATCAGAATGCATCTATAC